TTTGTCGCAAAGAGCTCAAATATTTAGGGTATTACATTGATAAACATGGTTTAAGAACGGACCCTGGTAAAGTAGATATAATCCTTAACTATCCTACACCCTCGAACCCCAAGGAGGTAAAAAGATTCCTTGGAATGGCAGGTTGGTACAGAAGATTTGTGAATAATTTCTCTGAAATCAGCAAACCGTTATGTAAACTCACCCGTAAGAATGTGGATTTTGAATGGAACTCTGAGGCACAGAAATCCTTTAATTTGCTTAAAACTGCCCTTGTTTCTGCCCCTATTTTAAAAATGCCAGATTATTCGCGCCCTTTCCGTATTTTGACTGACGCATCTGCATACTCAGCGGCGGCCGTTCTCACCCAGTCTTATGACGGAGTGGAACACCCTATTGCCTACTGTAGCCGCTCACTTAATAAAAATGAAGTTAATTATAGTACAACAGAAAGAGAATTATTAGCTGTTATTTATGCATTAGAACAATTTAGACAATATGTTGAAGGTCAGGAATGTACCATAGTCACAGACCATGCTTCACTGTTGTGGTTTTATAAATTAAAAAACCCCACAGGTCGTTTAGCACGATGGAGCATGCGTCTTAGTCAATTTAATTTTAAAATAGAACACCGGAAGGGTCGGGATCATGTCCTCCCGGATACTTTGTCACGTATTAAATTAGATTCAATAGAAATAGATTTATCAAAAGATAGTTGGTACTCTTATATGTTAAACGCAGTAAAGAATAACCCACGTAAATTTCCTAATTTCATGGAAAAAGATGGAAACTTATATAGATATTCGAAAAATAAATATGATCTTACTAGCGAATTTGATTGGAAACTGGTAGTTCCTGAAGAAAATAGATCGGCAATTCTTAGGAAATATCACGATGACCCTACTAGTGCACATTTAGGTGTCATGAAGACACATAGGAGGATCGCCTTACATTATTACTGGCCCCACCTATACGAATGTGTGAAAAAGTATGTGAGTGAATGTGAGACGTGTAAGCAATACAAACCTGTGAACACGGCACGTCCCGGTCTCATGGGAAGTCCTAAGAAAGTGACCAAGCCATTCGAAGCCATTAGTTGTGATCTATTGGGACCCTTTCCAAACTCAAGGAATAGAAATACTTATTTAATAGTTGTTTCAGATTACTTTAGTAAATATGTCATGTTGCACCCTATACGGTCAGCAACAGGCATGGCTGTAGCAAACTTTATAGAAAAATATGTATTTTTAGTCCATGGCGTTTGTAAAACCATCTTTATAGATAACGGTCCACAATATGTTAGCTCCCATTTTAGACAGCTGTTAACTAAATATAATGTACCAAACATATATTACAATCCTAAGTATCATCCCCAAACGAACCAAGCTGAGCGGGCAAATAGAAACATAGTTCATGCGATAGCCTGTTATGTAAAATCCGAGCATAGAAGGTGGGATGAACACTTAATAGAATTGCAATGTGCTTTAAACACGGCTGTGAATGAAGCAACTAAATTATCACCTTTAGTTTATACTTTAACCGATTTAAATGGTAAATGTTTAGGTAATTATCATATTAAAGATATACTAAAATATTCTGAACAACAGAACTAACAAATCTTTGAATTCCACATAGGATGCTTAGCTTGGCTAAGGAGACTTCAAGTGTGGGAAACATGTATATGGAAATCTGTGGGCTACGGTTCGAAACCTGCCAGAAAATTAAAATCTTTTTTAACTTTTAACTAAATAAATATTTATTGACAACCCTTTTAACTTAAATTCTCACTTTTAAAAGAACACTTAAATAATATTTCGATGCATTTTAATATTTTAATACAAAAAAAAAAATATATTTTTAATAATAAAATATTTTCGTCAAGTTATGTTTACTGATATGCATATGGGTATGAAAGTAGTATGTAATGCGAGAAGTATGAAAAGCATTTTCCAAAGTTAACGCGTGCAATTTATTTTAAAAACTAAATAGAAAAATAGGTCATGATGTATGAAAGGCATAAGCATAAGGAAGTGTACATATACTTTAGACTTGATAATTAAAGATAGGAAGATTGTTGGAAAATAATCTTAATCTTTTGAGTTTGAAAACATACAAACATCTTTAATCTTGAGTTGTTTTCTTAACTACCTTAAGTTCATAAGATGAACAGAAAAGTCATGTTATACCACTGGATATTAGATCCAAGAAAGGTATTTACATGAAACTAAAAGAAAAATCATTAAACAGCAAATATTTAATTGTTGCTATTGACTTAGAGTTTAGAACATTACGTGGAGTAAATAAATGGATACTCACGTATATAAGTTTAAATTTTTTTATCTTGGCTAATACTTAGTATTGTTGATTTGTCTGTAAGTCAGTTGCAGGTTAATTAATTAAAAAAAAAAAAAAAAAATTTTTTGGAAAAAAAATTTTTTTGAGATAAGGGGGATGTTGTGTAGCAATTAAATTTAATAACGTTAAAACATAGCAATATAATTCTTAAATATTAAGTCGTAGAAATATTATTATTTATTCAGCGCCATCTATCATCATGCATATAAATTATTCAATATCGAAGTCCACTTTGAAAAGCAACGGACAAATACAATATATGTGTGAACCTAGTAGTTGCATTTGGAATGTAAGTTAGAGGGAGCTAGTGTGTAAATTTTTTAATGAGATGCAAAATTGGATGTGACGTCACATTAATGTTCTGGAAACATTGAGAGGCGGAGTCAGCAAAACCGGTCCGTTTGATTCCTCACACCAAATATGGTGATATGAGAGAAATTTGCAATGACGCTGTCACGTGTTGTAGTAGCCTATAAATAGCAGTGCACAACCAAATTCGCTCTCTTTTGGCTGATAGAACCTTGAAGACCATACTTAGAAAATAGCATTAAGACTAGCAGTGGTAGTCAGTGCACTATATACTTGATATTTCTCCCCGGATTAACGGGTAAGTTCAATACATTTGATTCGTTAGGCTGTAGGTCCAGTTAGTTTTTTTATTGAATTATAGAAATATGTGTAATTGGTTCTAGGTCCATTAATTTAGCTAATTAATAACAGTAATAATCACAATTACTTGATCCTGATTGGAATCTCCTTGGAAATATATATATATGAGCCTGTGAAGCTTTCTTGAGCAAAAAGTGACGGGTTCACGTGATGACAGCAAGTCCTGCTTCATCCCAGAGGACACTTGAGTCATCCTGATGCTCCCATGATCTTGCCAAGCTAAGTAAAACTTATAACTTCTTGATATTTAACCAGTGCATACTCCGGAGAACCATTTCTGTTTAACGTGATAAAGGATTTTCTATTGGTAAACTGTAAAGCCATTATAAGAACATAACAAATTTTTATTGTCAAATTTTCAAAACTTAATATTTTATAACTTGTTTAATAATTTGTTTATATAAGAAACTTAAATTGAGTATTACTGTATTAGCACATGATCTTGAATGTATGAATATCTTTAAATCAAAAGAAAAATCTTTGAGGAAATATAACTATGTATTTATTAACTTGAATGTGACTAGTATTAAGTTTTAACCATGATGAAATAAGATCTGAATTTTTTTTACAATATAATATCTTGTTCACTGCGGTTTTAGACATTTTCATTTATCTCCCTCAAATCACAGTAGTACGGCGCCCTGATTATAAATTAAATAAGTTTCGAGTCTCATGTAAGCCCTGAAATAGCCGGTGATAACAAAAATTGTTACAACCAACTCAAGCTCCATGGGGTAAAACCAAAGTCTACGGCAACGCCATCTTTTAATGTTTTCCCTGATTAATTGCAATTTTAGACGTTTAATTTTTAATGTGTAACATCTTTCCACACACTTTCCTGCAATTTGTGGGAGTGATTTCGTGAAATGGGACGGAAGTGTGTAACAGGAAGTCGCGAAAGCGCACGCTATTTGATTTGATTTTAGAACATAATGTTGAAATGGCTTATTCCTTTTGTAGTAGGTTTTTTTTACTAATACAAGGTAAGGTTTCAAATCTTATACATCATACGCGACTACTGTAAATCTCGCTCGTTTTTTTAAATTGACTTAGCTGGAATTGCGAATCCAGCGGCCTGAGGTTTGAATCCTGGATGGGCCTAAGGTTTGTGTGAAGCCCACGTGCATTCACTACCTGTCATGAATGTTAAAAATATCTATACATATATTGTATATACGTTTTCTAGCACCCATAGTGCTTAGCAAGCTATGCTTAGATAAGGGCTTTGAGGGTAGGGAGATGTTTGTTGTTGGTTTACAAAAATAACATACAATAAAATAAAAAATGGGTGCGTGTACTTATGTAAGCGCGTGAGAAGTTATCCTTCTTTGGCATCGTTTAAAATTAGTTTTTAATTGCATGCAAATAATTAATTATAATAAATTAATAAAAAGTCTGGAAAAGGACACAGTCAATAAAGTTCAGTTTAAATTTGAAAAAATAAATAAATAATCAAAATATTCAATTAAAATCGCTACTGAATATAATTTATTAGAACATATGTGATTTGCACTTGTATGAAACTCAAACACGTAATCCGAATATACAAACTAGAAACATGTGGATAAATGTTATAAATATGAATACCTATAACTGTTACTTTATTACAAAAAATAAAGATGTGGTTTTTGGTTCTACTACACCAATGGTCAAGAGATGGTGCTGTAGTCTCCTGAATCGCGCTTTGGTTCCGTTGTTCCAGATTAATAAATACTTTTGATAGGCCTTCACAATGCAGTCGTTAGCACCCACTAAATAGAGATTCTATTTCTATTTTGTTGGTAGATTTTCTTAATGTGCGGTAAACACAAAATTTCGTGTTACAGTGATGCGCGCGCATCTTAAAATTTCACTCTCATCATTTTTTCATAACGCGCCTAAAGAAGTATAACTTCAAAAAACTTGTTCCGTGTTGTCAAGCTTTATCCTGTCAAATACCAGGATCCCAAAAAGCGCAGGAGGTAAGTCGTTCGCCTCACCCGTGCTCAGCGGAGAGATGCAGTGCGCTGTAACCGCAGTCGTCCCTCGCGTTGACGTCACACCCTCGTACCAGGAGCAGCCTGGTGGCTTCCAAGTGTCGCTGCCAGATCGCGTAGTGGAGGGGGCGAAGGCCTTGCGTCACCGGTTCATTTACCTAAGAAAATAAATTTTACTAAGCTAAGAGATTAGTCTTTAAGAGATGAGGCATAGGGGATTTTTCGCTCGAATTGGAGCCTCCGTCTGGGGAAGTAACCGCCACCTTACAGAAGATCACAGTAAAATAACACTGCTTTTTGGTGGTTCTGCGTTTTTGTTGGTGATTAAGGTTCCTGGGCCCCACGGGGTATTAGGTCAGGGAAGGCAACGGGGCGCAAATGATATTTTTCTTATCGCAAGCATACAGACACTTGCGATTGCTCGCTCGGTTATGGTGGTCACTTACAATCTGTAAGGCCACATGCCTGTTTTCCAACCTTTTAACATAACAAAAAAACCAGTGTGTGATTATGAAAGTTCAGGAACTTTCACAAACACCACGATTCATGGAGAATGTGTGGCAAAAAATGTGTTGTTTCAAGATAAATCGTTAATAAGCAGTTTCTTGTTAGCTTACCAATTAGCGGACCTTTTTACTTATATTTATCTTTCATTTATCTTCAGCCTATTTGTGTCTCCACTGCTGGGGCACCGGCCTTCCCTATGGATGATATTATAGAGAATGGGCTATGACCCACCACGTGAGCATACTGTGGACTGGAGCTAAGTGCTAATGACTGTAGATGCAGCCGCGACCAACAGTTTAACGTGCCTTCCGAAGAGCTCAGGAGTTAGTCTTTGATTAAAATTTTGGTCACCCGTCCTTTTTGACGCTCCTTACCTTTGCACCACACGCTAGCAAGATGCGGATCTCATCCAGCGGGACCATTCGAATGATGGAGTCAGCCAGTTCCCTCTGGAGGGACTTCTCCGACTGGGCTATTACTTCCGAAGGCATTTTCTGGCAACAAAAGAAAAACACTGTTTAATAATATGAAAATTTTAGATAAATGATATTGTGGGTTACCTATAATGCGAAGAGATGGCGCTGCCTTGAAGCCTACGAAATACTAAAGAAAATTCAGCACGGCCATCAGGGCCGCGGTAGCATAATGGTCCGTGCGGATTTTTTTCTTGTAAAATTTTCTTGAGATTTGATCATCTAGCAGTTAAATTGAAGTTAGTTAAATAAAAATTACTACATTATTTGGATTTACCATTGGGAATGTAGTTAGCTAGTTAACGCCCATTTTGTAAGCGAATCTTGTATTTATACTTAATATTATAAAGCTGCTGAGTTTGTTTGTTCGGTTGAAAGCGCTAATATCAGGAACTATACATCCGATTTGAAAAGATATTTTTGTGTTGGATAGTGAACTATTTGAATATATCGATAAACACTTCAGGCTATATATAACACTAGCTGTGCCCCGGGGTGTTACCCGCGGTGTATTTGGGAGATTTTCCCGGAGTAAAACGTAGCCTATGTGTTAATCCAGGGTCTTAGGTTACTCCATACCAAATAAGACCTGCCAGTTCTCACTGCTTGAACATGTTAGTACAGAGTGATCTTTTAGATGTAATCTTCTGAAGGTTTGTTCGTGGTTGCGGTTCACTCTAATTTTTGAAGTCACAAGTTTTTTAGTTTTATTTAAATTAAACTTATAACACCCCCATTTTTCTTTCGGGTTTAAATAGTATAAGACACTGTAGAAGCGAGTAAATACGTATCTGGAAACTACACGTTTGCGAGCTAGGATCTTTTTGCTCTCTATCTTGCTCCTAATACTAGGTACCACCCGTTTTTCTAGCTTTCCGCTTCAGACGTAAAGATATTATGATATATAATTGTATTAAAGCAGATGATATCATAAAAACATTTTTTTTGGTACACAAGATGGCAGAAAACCAAGCATCCCACTCTAGGAAATACAGACAAACTGTTGCCAAATAATAATTAAAAAAGTACACCTTGAAAACTTGAGAGATTTGTAATTCTGTCATCATGAGCAATGAGATAATGGACAAAAACAAAACTCACCGTCGACAGTTTAAAAAAGGAATCCTTTGTCCGAAAAAAAATCGTAGATCTTTTTGACGCAAGTTCAAAAGGGATCACCGTGCGTAATCAGCCACGTGGCGTGTTGGACATCGGCCATTTTGAAAAACGCACGCATTGTGCAATTTATCAATGTCGCACGAAGACTTAGTATTAATAAATAAACGTTTAATAAAACGTGTTAACATTTTGATTTGAGGTTGATAGATCTCTATGGACGTGTGTTTTCATTTATCAATCGCACGAATGGGTTTTGGCAAGTCCATTTATGTCTCATATATTCTACGTCTTATTCTTAATAAGAAAGTTTAAATTAAAATGTGGTCACAGTTTTTGTAATTTTCTAAGGTCCAAGCAATTTTTTTTTTGTGGCATCATTAGGAATTTAAAGAAATTCTTTAGTAATGTGCAACACCAAGACGACACCATATTTGATACCTACCCAATATAAATAAAGAAATCACTACAAGTATTGTACTTATACGTACCAATACTTGAAATAGTCAACTGTCATGTATTGAACCCAAGGGCCCTTTGATGCTAGCCAAACTCCGAGTCGAAAGATCAATATCTTTTGCAAAACAGGCACAGATTCAATTCATTCATATTCAATTATTCCAAAGAATACACTAACCGGGTTCATCGTGACATAAACATAGAGTTCTTGAATCGCATATCACTCAGTTGTAAAGTCGATAAGAACTGAGTGGTGATTTCTAATATTCAAAAATTTATTAGCTTGAAGACAAATTGCAATACCGCCTACTCAGTCCTCTAGAAAAAGGGTAAGTAACACATAGCAATGAACATTGAGCCATTCAAACACAGGCTATCAATTAACTTATAGAACTGCTTTTTGATTTTTTGGGAATATGGCGTGAAACTACTTACGTAGGTGATAGAGGTCATTGGACCAGACGCGCGAACCAGCTGATTCCGTTTACCTCCGAAGATCCCAGATCAGTGCCAACAATACAATACTAATTATACTTATTATCTAATCCTCATCATCATTCGAATGCTCTGCGATACCTACTTATTGGGCTGGATGAGAGTGGCAGAAAATCGGGAACAATGGCGTGCATTAAGGGAGACCTATGTCCAGCAGTGGACGAGCATGGGTTGATGATGATGATGCTTATTGTGCACGCACGTATAATAATGGCCTTGAAATTAGGTAGGATAGGGGATGGCCACAACATAGGAAGCCTGTATAGCTTATTATTTTTATATTTGATTTTATATTTTTGTATTTGATATTCTGATACGAGATTTTCCATAGTTGTTTGGAAAACGAACGAGCCTTACAGTAGTCACGTATGAAGTGTAACATTTGAAAGTTTTAGAATTAAAATATTATGGGCGGACAATGACTTCCATTTACAAATATGAAGTGCGACAGAAAATAAAATGTTTTAAGCCTTTGTTCGTATTGGAATGAAAAGGTAAAAAACTCCTCAAGACACTTGCCAAATTATTTTTTCACACAGTCATTTTTGTCAACAGAAAATACCTAATTGGCATTGGGTATCAACTTTATTTGTCATTTTTCTGACGCCGTTTTTCTAATCATAATATGTTAGATACTTACAAACTTAATATCGATGGATAGTAGAATGAAAATCTAAATTTTATTACATAAATGATTTTTCGTTTTTTGAATTTTTCAGGTGTTTAGTGAAATTGTATTTGAAGTCAGGAAGAAGAAGAAATAGGGCAACGATCTTTAAAACCTCACTCACTGAAGGTAAAGTCAAGTCTAAATTATATTCTTTAATCCAATTAATTTCATAATATAACATATTTCTTTTAACAAACATTATTGACCAATAAAAAAAAATAGTACAAAGAGGGTGGAGAATGCTAAGAGGAGCTCTCTCCACCAGTCAAGCCTTAGGTAAAATGAAAGACACTACGGGTGGGCGTTTTTTGAATAACGATGCGCGATAACGTTGTCAAGTTTGGATGCGCGCATCCGATGCGACTGGATGCCGATGCCATCTAGTTTTTTTCAACGTTACTATAGCAACAGTGCCACAAACTTATATGTGCCGGTGAATATGTCGCTAGCGGTGAACAAATATGTCATAAAAATGTAATTCCAATTTTGGCCACCGGCACTAAAAAGTTTGTGATACTACGATACTGACATTCACTTGGCATCGATGCGATGACGCCATCGGTGCTCAGATCCGATGCGGTTTATCTGATACCGATGCGCATCGATTTCACAAATATCTAAAAACGCCCATCTCTAAAAGACACGAAAGTGGCGAAAGGTAGAAATAAATTTGGTCACCATAAGCCTAAGAACTTAAGTAAGTACCTACACTTTCATAGAATGTACCAATCCGAATAAACTTTATTAGGTATTATGGTAGTAGGAACATCAGTTGTTGTCTGTCCCCACTTCTCTTAAAGCACTAAATAAGGCCAAATAACCCAAACAAATCGTAAAACGCAAAAGTTATGGGTTAGTTCCACGTTATCTTTCGTTTCTCCTTGACATAAATCCTTAACATACATCGGTTTGATATTCTTTCAAGTCATTGTTCAAATTCATTCAACACTTTCGCGCTATTTTCACGCAGATTGGATGGAATCCAAATTGATTGTCGTGACATAGTTATTTTGATCTGTCCGTGTTGCTTTATTCCTTGTTAGAGAAGTTCTATTTACGCTGGTGGTGCCTGGGTCAACATTTCGATTAAGTTTGCGTGCACCAAATAGAGATGGCGCCACGTGCTTTTTGTTTACTAACACTGCTACAAGAAAATATGAAAGGCGTATTTTCTATCTTGTTTTATCCAATGACAATGCTACGGAAGTTGTTTTGCAAAGGAGCCAATATAATTTATAGCAATCCTACGCATTATTTTTTTTCCGAATTGCGTATTGAGTTTTGTTCTTGGATTTTCCAGATTTTGCGTCTTATCTGAGTCTATATCGGAAGTGGTTTTAATAAAGTCTTTTATAAATAAACTTGTGTTTTTATTTAGTCTAGACACCGAATTTTTATTCTAATTTTATACAGAGCTGATTTCACATTTATTTACTTACATTGTACAGTTTGAAGAAGACTAACCGTTAAGAAACAATAAGTTTATTTTTAAAGAGAGAAAATCAAACTTTATTATGTATTAAATCAAACTTAAAAGTATAACTTATGTAATGAACTAATTGCAATAAGTATGATACAACACCAATTGACTCAGGTGCAATTCGTATCCATCACACAAATAAATGCCAATAGGATTGGAATCTACGACATTTAGAGCAGAAAGACGGCGCTGCCGATGCACCAATTATGTATTTAAATAGTTTGTTTCTTAGGTTTCTTAGTCTGCAGTGTGTGAACATGCCTTAGGGGGACCAAACCATTACATTAGATTTGATAAACCACAGATCCTTGCAACTGAGCAACGTTTCGTTCCAGAATGATACGCGAGGCTATTGAGATTAAAAAATATCCAAATTTCAATAGGGAAGATGGTTGGTATATACCACCAGCTTGGGAACCCATTATACAGGAGATAAAATCCCAACCCCGAGCACTCACTGCAAGACCAACAGATACTATTAGTTCTTTTTGTTTGCATAATTTAACATAAGAAGGAGATAGAAAGCCTCTCTTGAGTTTGTTTCGCCAGTTCTTCCCAGGAAGGTCTCCTAATTTTGGAACCGATGGTAGTTTACGGTAGTTAGGGTCAAATAAATAAACTCAAAATTACAAAAAGAATTTTAAATAAAGTACTTTATTAACTAAACTAGCTATGCCTCGCGGTGTTACCCGCGATTTATTAGGGATATTTTCCCGCAGTAAAACGTAGCCTATGTGTTAATCCAGTGTGTCAGCTAACTCCATACGAAATTTTATTGAAATCGCTTCAGCCGTTTAG